AATGAGAACTGAGGAGTTACAAAGCTTGTAAACATACTTGACACAAACATATGGGTCGGGTTGAGGTGCGAAGCCAAACATATGAATTGGTTTCATTAAGGGCAACTCTATCCTAATTAATTTTTCTTGTTTAAAAATAATTAAAATTATGATGAGGCTTATTTTTCAAAATACCTTATGCATGAGGCATACGTTTGAAAAGAACTCTAAATCAAACAAGCATAATAGCCAAGAGTTTAGAAATAATTCTAAATTTAGACATTGTTCTGGTTTACGCACTTTTGTTGCTTGTTTGACTTAGTCTCCCTCAGATCTACCAGATTGTGCGCTTATAGAGGGCGCACATAAGGTGTGTTGTGTGTTTTTTTGTTTTACCAATAAGAAGTTTGCATCAGTAAATAATGGATAATTTTCTAAGTTGACCCCATTTTACTAATGAGCAAATGTCTAGTTCTTTTTATTTTATTTATTTTTGGCTTATGAATAAAGAAGTATACAACCTTAAATAGTTAGGAAACTTGTTATAGACAGTTGGCGGGTTTCAATTTTATAAGTGGACATGACGTAAGTTTTCAGCCACCGTGCCTAAAATTGCTCTTCACACTTGTTATCTTTCCATGGTTCTGTACATGACATGCACATAAAAGATAAAAAAAATTACATTAGAAAGATGCATTTTATTTTTAGTTAAAATAAATGAAGACTTGCTTTTAATTATTTACAGTTTTGTTTTAAAATACTTTATAAAGTTAAAATAAACGAAGAGATCATTTATTTTTAGATTTATAAAGCAATACTTAATAATTATTTAGATTTATTTTTATTTTAATCAACATTATCCAATACAAGAGATAAATCATACATTCTTTCATTGAAATATTACATTTTTGTATTATTTAATTTTTACTTGCAGACAATCTTGGTATATCTTGACCTAAAATGATGTAATTAATTTTTATTTTACTCCCTAGTATCAAAAAAGAAAAATGTTATATTTTTTGTTTCCAAAAGCTAAAACAAATTACAAAAACAATAAAAAAAAAGAGACAATCAAATTAAATTCCCCAGTATCATAGAATATGGAGTTTTAATCATTGCAATATGTCTATTACAATTAGTTAATTATTTAATCAGTTCTTGTTGACTTTCTGTTATATATACAGCCTTGATTATTCCTTTTTTGTTAGTTGGCTAAGGAACGTGTATCATTATAATTTTAATTAATGCATGAAAACAAAGATTATTTTATTTTTCTAATGTAACCAATCAAGTGAGAAAATTTTGAAGCCTTCTGTAACGACAGCTCTTCGATCGCTACCGACGTCTGAGTGTCGCGAGAGAACCTGTCAAGTCTCGAACAAGCCTTACTTAAAACGTTAGTCATTACCTCATAATCATACTATCAATCTAAGAAAATTTCCTTGAACCATAAAACTCTTTGTAATAAGAATTGAA